ACTCTTCAAATTTATCTTCAATCATAGCAATCCGTTCGATGCATTGTGTTCGCTTCTCGTATCTCCACCAATCCTGTAAGCACATCACCGCTTGTACAGTATACGGATCTAAGCATGTCCTGTGGTCGTCGATCAAACGTCCTGCTGTGCTGAAAGCGGATTCCGAGGCTACAGTCGAAACCTGCACTGATAGTAAGTCACGAACCATGGTGGAAAGTATAGGATATGAAACTGATCCATATACTTTCCACCATTGCAAAATATCTAAAGCATTTCCTTGACATCTAACTAAAGAAGCAGAAAAATATTCATCTATTTCAGAAACATCTAATCCTGATGAAGTTCCAGATCCACCAGTTAGTTCAGCTACCATTGCATACCTATCAAAACTTACACTTTTACCTCGACCTGTGCTCGAAGCTGAAGGTGCCGAAGCTGAAGACTGTTGTGTAGCTACACCATATCTAGCTGCATACTCATCATATAAGGTTTGAAAATAATTTCTAATAGCTAAATAATGAGTAGTAGCAGTAAGGGTGGATCCATCATCTAAGTCTATAATCTGTCCACCATACAATGATTGTAACAAACTTCGAAGGCCAATTTCCTTCAAGCATGGATCAATAAGAACACCAATACCAAAAATATGAGGAATAGGCCTAAAATACTTATTAAATTTACTCTCCATTTCAAAAATTATACTTCCAAAAATATCATCCATACGATATTTTGTAAAATTTTTTTGAATATTTAAAATTTGTAAAGCAGCTAAAGTAATAGTTGGATAATAACAACCAGATAATAACATAGTAGCATCATAAAAAACTTGTAACATCTCATTTAATTTACATATAACTGTCCATTCATCTTCAGTTATTCCATAAGCACTACCAGAGCTAGAACTAGAAGCATAAAAATTTATAAAATCATTTATAATTTCTTTATATTCTATTGCTACAGATAACATTGCATAGGTGGAATTCCACCTATGGTCAACATCTTTTGGAATTAGTCTAGGCTTATAATTTTTTCTTTTACAACATTGTTTCCATCTTTTAATTCTCATTTCAGAAGCATTATGCATATTAGTAACTGTTCTAACTTTTTCTATCATGGGTTTAATTTCAGAAAATGCACTTTGAACAATTAAATTTAAAATATGACAGATACATCTAACATGAAAAAGCTCACCATGACATGGCAATGACAAAGTTATTTTCAGAAAATCAACAGCTACATTATTATTACTTGCATTATCTAGTGAAAGAGTAAATATTCTTTGATCAATTTCTAGTTTCATAAGTTCTTCAACAATTAAATTTGCAACATTAATACCAGTGTGTGACTCTTCAATTGCAATAAAAGAAACAACTCTTTTAAACATTTTCCAACTTTCATCAATCCAGTGTGCTGTTATACATAAATAACCAGTTTGCACTCTAGATGACCAAATATCAGAAGTTAAAGAAAATTTGCAGTTTAAATTTTTAAAATAAGAAATTATTTTTCCCTGTTCCTCAACATAATATTTTAAAATATCACGTTGACAGGTTTGACGAGAAAATTTTGTAAATGCAGGATAAAAACCATCTCTAAATAAATCTTCAAATTCATCATCTTCTACTAATTTAAAAGGAAGGTTTTTAAGAACAATAAACCTGATTACGCATTTCCGGGCTCGGGCAGCGTCATAATTCCAACTGCCGAGGGTACCTGAAGAGGATGATTGGGAAAGCATAGACTGCCGGATATCACCTTGTAGATTTTGGCCTTTGTTGTGTTTTTCAATATGCCGTTTGAGATGGTTGGTGCCGCTCTTATGATGAGCTTTGAATATCTGGCCGCACAACGCACATTTCGCATTCTGAGAGATGATCCTACCGTGTTCATCCTTGGTGACGTCTATCTTCTCAAAAAAATTCCATACATCAGACCTCGGCCTTTTTGGAGCTCTTGGTGCCGTAGATTCGTCGCCACCAGATTCAGGATTAACACCGGTAGGATGAGGAGTTGTTGTAGGAGGACTCATCTCTGGATCGGTAGGAGTTGCATGTTGCTCTTCATAATCAGACCCAGAAGCCATTTGTTGGAAGTATTAGAAAATACAAAAGATTATAGGATAGTATATTAGTATGAGATAGTATAAGATTGTATAAGAGAGTAGTAGAGAGAGAAATAGATGAGTTTTGTTGTGAGAAAATGAATTGAAACCCCCCCTCTATTTATAGAAGCAGCCCCCTAGGTAAATGACCAAAAAACCCTCGAAAAATAGCCGTTTTTTGACCGTTTTAAGGGGCAAAACGGTCAAAAGACCAAATCTGGCCGTTAGGCCAGATTTGGCCCGGGCCGGGCTGGGCAACGGTCACCTTTGTGACCGTTATGGCCGGGCCGGGCCGGCGCCGCCCGACCGGTCAACGGTCACGTTGTGACCGTTATGGCCCGCCGCGCCCGGCCATGGTGAAGCACATTTCCTTTCGCACTGTTCCGGCGGCCCCCAGACGGAACCTGCTCGCCAACGCGACCGAGCCCTCCGGGCCGGACCCCGTTTGCCGGTTCGGCCGGGCCGGCCCGGCCCGACAACCGGCGGCCCGGGCCGGACACCGGGCTTTTTGGACACCCCTAACCAAATATATATCTTTTGCTTGTCATTTTTGAAAGTTGCTGTGCTTTTTTAAGAAAAATTTAAAGTTATATAACAATTCTGGGTATTTCTAATTTTTTTGATTAACAGCCATTCAATAATCTACAGTATGTTAATTCATAGTGATTGCAAAGACTAGTAGGATATTTGATTAATCTTTAATTCGTTAATTTCACATGACCCTTGTGTACTTTGGAATATGCTGCACATAACTCTTGTGAATTTGCTTATATCACATATCTATTCTGTAAATTTGGGTGCCTCTTAAAATCTCTCTTAACTTTGAGCTTTTCTCACTAAACTCCCCTACGTATAACTTGTACTGTTGCACACAACTAATTTTTATTCAGGATAAAATATATAAAAAATAAAAGAGCGGGCATATTGCCTAGAAACGAAATCGATAAAGTTTAAAAATAACACTTAAAAGATAATTTTAGCTATTTGCAAATTATAGGTAAGGAGCTCTAGTGAAAGGTAAGGAGCTCTAGTGAAGGGAAAAAAAAAATCAAAGTTCAAATGAATTTTGTGAGACACCTTATATTTTAAGGAATCGCCTGATATAAACAAAGTCCAGAGTTATCTGTAATTAAATCGACCTTAAATCATGCTCCATAATTTATTCAGATGTTGAATACGGAAAAATCTAGACTATAAGCCCGAAGCGTCGGTTTTGCCCTCGCAAAACTTGAAAGTGCCAATAAACCAAAGATTCGAGGGGTTAAGTGGGTAAAACAGAAAAGCTGTAGCTCTTTCCCCATCCCAATCATTTCTCAGCAGACCTAAACCCCGACAACCCGACGCAACATCTCCAAACAGGGAGACTTGCCGGCTATTCTCCCGCAGATCTATGCGTTCGCGCCACGTGTCAATCTCTCATCGTTCCCCATCCACTCACATGAAGGAGCCGAGTCAAACCCTCGGGGACCACACAGCTTACCTGCACCCAGATACTGAACCCCCTACAGTAACCCAGGGCTAGGTAATAAGAAAAAAAATATATATACAGAGATAAATAAATTGGTCTAAATTGTTATATTGTTATTTTTCGTACACCTACTTTTATTATCTATTCACTTTTTGTCATTATTTATTCCGAGTCAAATGTAAAATTAGATTCAAAACTTTGCATGCTACCTCACGCGGCTATTAATGCTACCTTATTTACGAGGAAAATGCCATAAGGTAATTTGGCATATTGCTAAGAGGCTGTTTGGTTGTATGTTTTTACCATGTAAAAAGATGGAAAATATAAAAAAATGGGTCCCAATGTCAGCTTTCATCACTTTCAATTGTTTGTTTGTAGTTGTGAAAATAGTGTAAAGTGATTTCATATGCTGATGTGGCTTGTAAAATGCTTTCATAAAAAAAGACATGATTTTAGGAGAAAGCTGACATTGAAGTCAGAAAAAAATAATAAAAAATAATTCCAACCAATATGATCATTTGAGTAGGGATCACTTTTTACACTTTCCAAACAAACAATTAAAGTTATATTTACAAACCAAACAAGCAATTTATGATTCCAATGGAATAAAAAACAAACAAAGAAAAATATAAAAGTAAAATTGATGAGGTGGACAACAACTTTCCAAGTTGTATCATAAATACATAATTTTTACCAACAACAACCAAACAGCCCCTAAGAATAATAACTATATCCGCTTATATAAAAATATTTAGTCCGCTACAGCGAAGTAAATTTCGGGACAAATAAGAGGAGGGCATGAGCGGGGACTGATCCACATGGTTACTACCCTAGCAATCTGAAAAATTGCACTCTAAAACCCTTCACACTTGCATCTTTTCCCCAATAGTTTTAAATATTTTGCACCTCACCTTGAATTTTCAAAAAACTGGCATTTGACACTTACAAATTAGCAGCCCAATTTCATTAATCTCATTTGAAATTAGTAGTTCATTTTTGTTTCGACAAATAGATAATTATCTTTCGTCGTCCGAAGAAAATTCTCCTGGATCTGCCATCGGATATGATATTATCTCCAAAATATAGAGAAGAAACATCGAGAAAGCTTTGGATGCCAAAAACTGCTAAGAGGACTCTTTTTTCACTAAACGGCGCAATTTAGAGTGTAATTGCACGTTTAACTTAGAAAAAATACAAAAAAATTGTCAGCTCCAATAAAAACACTAAACTTATAAGAAGACTGTACAGAAAAAAAATATCACTCTGACAATTTTAACCACACGTAACAAATCAGATACACTGTTAAATGCAACGGACTATAAAAAGAGAAAAAAAGCGGTCCATCAGTATCTTGCACATATCTCTACTGTTACTCCTATTGCATTTTGTCGCCTGTTTTGTCGGTTTGGTCAATGGGCGCAAAAGCCTACCGAGTGCATCTCCATTATTTATTTATTTATTTAGTTTTCACTCTCTCATTTAATGTTTTTTTACATTAAATTAATAGTTTCTTGTCATCTTGTCACCTCCTATATATAAACCAAATGGTCCAAATCCCCTCCCCTTGCATCCTTGTTTGTACAATTTTTCTTTCTTCTCCTTTTACTTTTTTTTTAATTTGTAAAAAAAAATAAAAAAAAAAATAATTGCAACTAAATTCCTCTTCCCCTCGAGCTCTTCTCATGGGGGGTTTTGGGATAAGCCCACTAGGCTTGGAGCTCACCATGGCTGTTCCTGGATCGATGAGCTCTTCTTCCGTCTCTGGTAAATATTTGCAGAAACCCCCCTTCACCTTTGGTGAAATTTATTTTAGGCTGTTTTTCTTTGCTAGTGTTTAGGCTTTGGGTTGTGTGTTTGGATGGAAAGTAGGAGAGGGCAAAAGGGAAGAAAGAGAAAATTTACTATAGAAGAAATTTAACCGTTTATTTCTATGGATTAACGGCTGAGATTTTATTATAATTAATACATTTCCCCCCTTCACTTCTCTTAGTTAAAACATGATAAAATAAATTTCTCTCCATTCTTTTTACAAACTCCCAAATAAGATATTATATTTTCGGTCCTCTCTTCCCCGACTTACCTTTTTTCTATTTTATTTTTACATCCCTTTCTTCTATAGTAAACTCCCGAACACACTGTTAGATAATAATTAATTAAAAAACTAAGTTGATTGAAAGTGTAAATTTTTGAAACGTAGAGGGTGTTGGCTACAACATTACGAGGGACCTAGACATAAATCTCCCAGCATCAGAGGAGATGGTTGAGGTGGACGACGACGACGTCGACGGAAGCCACCGGTCGAAGAAGCTCCGGCTCTCGAAAGAGCAGTCGAGGTTGCTGGAAGAGAGCTTCAGGCAGAATCACACTTTAAACCCCGTGCGTAAATTTATTTTCTTTTTAGGATGGAGCGGTTTATTTTTTGTAATTATAGAATTGTGAAGGTCTTTTTTTGGTAATCCTGGGGACGCGAGCAGACGCAGAAGGACGACGTCGACGGAAGCCACCGGTCGAAGAAGCTCCGGCTCTCGAAAGAGCAGTCGAGGTTGCTGGAAGAGAGCTTCAGGCAGAATCACACTTTAAACCCCGTGCGTAAATTTATTTTCTTTTTAGGATGGAGCGGTTTATTTTTTGTAATTATAGAATTGTGAAGGTCTTTTTTTGGTAATCCTGGGGACGCGAGCAGACGCAGAAGGAGGCGCTGGCATCGAGGCTGAGGCTGAAGCCGCGACAGGTGGAGGTTTGGTTCCAGAACCGCAGGGCAAGGTGCGTCCATTGACTTCTTGGGGTCTCTTTTTTGGACTCTCTCTCTCTCTTTTAATTACTCCCTAATTAATTGTTTTTGTCCTTATTTATTTTGTACCGAGTAATCAATTAGAAAATGTTTTGAGTACGTAATCAGATAATGTCTAACCCATGTCCCTACGGAATAAATGGTGGAGTTGGCAACAGTTATCGTGTTGAGTTTAAACTAGAAGGGAAGTTAAGTTAAGGGAAGAAAAGAGAATTTCTAAAACTTGTTTGGGAAACTAGTAAGGTGAATCAAGGGGAAGTTATTTCACCCCATTTGAAAAGTGTAATAACGGGAAGGGAAGGGAAGAGAATGTATATAACTTGACATAAATACCCTCACATTTGGTTCTAAAATTTTAGCCGTTGGATTTTGATCATAAATATGTCTCTCTACATTTGTTGTATTCCCCCTCTTTACCTTCACCCCCATTACACCCCAAATTGGGGGGGGGGGGAATCATGGTATTTTCTCACCTCCTTTCACCTCCCCCCACCCCTATTAACTTGCTATATTTACTTCCCAAACAAGGTTAAAAGTTACCCTCCCTTCCCCTCACCCTCATTACCCTCAATCCAAACAGGGTCTAAGTTTTAAGTTTAATGATGTAAGAGTTGGTATCTCTTGGTTGCATATTTAACGTCATGCATTGTTCTCACCTGATATTTTCTCGCATTCTAATACGATGTTAAAAGGTTCTGGTGACCCGCAAGAAAACTTGAATTCATCCTTGGCATAGTTATCTGCAAGCAAATAGTTGTCGAGTGCAAATTATGAGCACGTGATGCATCGGTTCAAGTTACTGAATACATGAGAAGTGGCTCGTGCCGGAGCGATATTTGAAATTGCCTACGGGGATGTTTGTTTCACATCCTATAATTTTAGGAAATGGATGGATTTCACCGTGGGATTTGAAATCCATAGGTGTTTTGTTATGGGTTTGGATTTCTAAAATGATGTTTGTTTTATTAATATTTTGGGATTTGGAATGCTACAATTTGTAATATTTTGTTTGTTTCAAGCTCAAATTGTAGTATTACCAAATGTCAAAATTTTGTAATATGATGAATATGCTATCTTGATGAGGTTACCTCCCCCCCCCCAAAAAAAAAAAAGGATTTGTTAAACCCTCTTCAAGTGAAAGGTAAGCACATCCATTTATGAGATTTGTCAAAATCCTCTCCAATTGAGAGGATTTGGCAAATTCCAAAAATTAGGCACTTTTTGCACTTTTGGAATCCAATATTCTACAAACATCATATATGGACTCCCAAAATACAAAAAAAAAAAAATTACTTTTTGATCCCAAAACTTGTAATCCATACAAAATGCCAAAATTTTTGGTGAAACAAACACCCCTTATGTAAGTGCCTAATACATGTATTGATAAATTATATAGAGATACAATTGAAATAAAATCCTGACTCCGTCACGAGAAGTAGCCACAAAATTTTGTAGCTAGGATTCGCCTCAAACTTTATCATTAGACGATATAGTCAATTTATAGATTCCAGTAAGTAAAATCAGAGTAATTTTGTTTCACCCCATTAAAAGTGTTTCCTCTAATTATTTATAATAGTAGATAAACTCAGAGATTTGGTTGCTGTTAGATTCAAATTTATTTTCAATGAGTTTGTATAAAATTACTTCGCAGTGACATCGTATTCATCTTCGCAATTTTGCAATTTTGACCACAGGACAAAGCTGAAGCAAACGGAGATGGAATGTGAGTACCTAAAGCGATGTTTCGGGTCTCTGAGCCAGGAGAACAAGCGCCTGCAGCGCGAAGTGGAGGAGCTGAGGGCAATGCGGGTCACCCCGCCGACCATCCTCTCCCCGCAAACCCGTTTACCCATACCCGCATCCGCCCTCACAATGTGCCCGCGATGCCAGCGCGTCACCACGGCCGCTCCCTCAGCCCAGAACCGCAGGGACGGCCGTCGGCCGCTTGCTAGGGGTTATATTGTGGTGGAGTGTTGAGCGAGGGTAGTGAAAAGGTGTCATGTAGATAGTTTCTGGTTTGAGTTTGGAGTAGTTGCATAATTTCAATTCTCATTTCAGCGTCCAATTAATCAGGGAATTATGTTTTACTTATCAAGAGTCTTTAGTTGAGATTGAGATTTGAGGTTTGAAATTGTTGAGATTATTTATATATAAGTATAATCTCATATTGAATAGAACAAGCGAGAGTGATCTATTTAAAACAGAAGTTGGGCTAGTATCTAGTACCTATAACTTTTATGTTAATATTGTTAGAATATAAAATTATAATCCTCAATTCTAACTACAACTTCGAAGCTTTGGGTTTCTAAAACGGGCTTTAAAAGTAATGGTAATGCATCATGAGTCTAGTTTTTGGTCCATAAGAAGACCCACATATTGAACTACAACTTCACTTAACTACGACAGTGTGAAGCATGTTGAAGTAATTTAAAAAATATCAAATTAAAAAAGAGTGGTGAGTTTAAAATAAGAGTTAGGGCAAATACCTAATAGGGTTAAAATTGATTCATGAACTTGCCTATCATGAACTTGCCTATCAACTCTATATTGGACTAGATTTCTCCCCTAAGAGAAATATGTCTGAGTGTTAAATTATTGGACTAGATTTCTCCCCTAATAGAAATATGTCTTGAGTGTTAAATTATTGGACTAGATTTCTCCCCTAATAGAAATATGTCTGAGTGTTAAATTAAATTGAGACAATTCATATTTTGGACCGGAAGCGATTTAGTCTCATTTACTCATACAACAACGATAACAAAGTCCTTCTTCCAAAATATTAGAGTCGGTCATGTGAATCCTACTCTTCTATTTGATTCTATTTTGAGTAGGGGTGTTAAACCATATTCGCATCTGAGAAAATATCCGTAACCGTATTCGTTAGGATGTGGATGTGGTTACTCAAACTTATAACCAAAAGGATATGATTACGAATATGGTTTAGTACTGAAATATCCGGATCCGTATCTGAAATATCTGAATACATATTAGTCATACTCTTATGACAGTTTTAATTCTGAGATTATGGATTTGTGGTTAATTTTAATGATCAATATGCCTAATCTTAGCTTTTTAGTTATAATAAACATATTAACGAACTCTTTTGTATCACATAAACTGTGTTTTTTCTCAATACTATCTAGTTTTCTCATATCCATTTTGTATCTGCATGCATATCCACTTATATTTCTGCATGTATATCCGTAACCATACCCAATTTAGCGCATATAGTTATGAAGTTTCCTTACTGAGGTATATACGTATTCGTATCCGTATCCGAAATGAGTAAGCGGATAACATCATATCCGAGCTGTATCCCGACCTGATGCACCCCTAATTTTAAGCCATCTCCACAGTCCACAGTTGTTAACTGTTATTATATTATTTTTATTTGTTATAGTTAAGTTATTTTAGATCTATATCTAGATCGATTACTTCAGTAAGTATAATTATATCAATTTTCCTTAGCCCTTGAACTAAGAAGTCTTTTACTATATATGTCCAAACAATCAAATATGCATTAAAAATGGATGCCCTGATCCTGGATATTGTTAAGGGCAAGTGCAGCAAGCTCCCACCCCACCTCGTAAGGCTGAGGTGGCGGTGGGAGCTTGCTGGACTTGCTCCAGCAAGCTCCTAAGGGAGCTCTGAGAGCTTCCGTGGCACAAAGCCTAGGGCTTTGTGCCACGGAGCTCCCAAGCTATTAAAAAAAAAATTTTTAATTGGGAGCTCCAAAGCTATTAAAAAAAAATTTTAACAAAAAACTCCTTGCTTTTGTACCTTTGCAATAGAAGAGGGGTTTTTTTGATAGGGTTTTTTGATAGAAGAGGGGTTTTTGATATTGTTGGAGCTCCTAACTAGGAGCTTGTTGGAGCTCCATAAAAGAAGAAGTGCCTCTCAAGGCTTAATTTGTTAATTTTTTATTCTAAAATGCTTGAGAGCTCTTGAGAGCTTGCTGACTAGGACTCCTAACTGGGAGCTTGCTGCACTTGCTCTAATTAAATTACTTTCTTTCTTTATTATCTGTCATTATTCTAGATTAATTTCAGGAGATCTGGGTATAGCATTTCAAGGGGGTGTTTGGTTCAATTTCTAGAAATTATAGGAAATGTTTTCCACCTAAAATATGATTTCCTTGTATTTCTTAAAAAAATTATAGGAAAAGTTTTGAGAAATCAAAAAGTACCAATTTTCTTGTTTTTTGTACTTTGCTTGTTTGGTTCAAAACAAGAAAATGGCTCATAACTTTATAGAAAATAACAAGATTTGGTAGAGTTTTAATTAAATATAGTATGTGTCAGATTTCTGGAGATTTTCTCTCATTTTGAGAGGAAATTGCTTTTTGTAAAATTTGGTAGGTTTTGATATTTTATAGAAAATATTTCTGTAAATTTTTTGTTGAACCAAACATAATTTACAAAAATCTCTGGAAAACTTTTAATTACAAATTTGCCATTGTCAGATGTTTTGAGAAAAGTTTTCTCAAAAGTGCAACCAAACAGCCCCCAAGACTATCGCTTTATTGGGCTCTTGGAATAAGCGAGCCTACTATCTCAACGGCTCAGATATGAACGTGAGAGATAGAAGCCGACCCAGTTTTAGATATTAAATTTGCAATGGCATCCGACATTTTTGTCAAATTTACAACCTAACGACCATTTCTCTAGGGTTTTAGAATGGGTTTAACAAAGTGAAGCTGTACAATCCGCAGCTTGAAGATCCATCAATGGCGACCTTCTCCTCTCTCTCACGGAGACTCCTCCCTCGCCCCTTACAAAACCCTAACTCTAACCCTAGTTCCCTCCTCTCCTCCCTTCGCTTCTTCACCACTCCCCCCCTCTCAGGCTCCGAATTCGAACCCGATATCCAATCCGAACCCGAGCCCGAACCTCAATCTAGACCCGGATCCGAGCCCAGCTCCAAGCCCTCTCGAAACCCGAATCAGCCCCCATTCAATCGGACCCTGGAGAACGGCCTCGATCCAGGGGTATACAAGGTAATTTCCCTCATTTTCTTGTTTTTTTTTTACAGTTAGGGTAGGTGTTTCTGATGAAATTAGGGTTTTCGGCTTTTTGTTTAAGGCGATTTTGGTAGGTAAAGCAGGGCAGAAGCCAGTTCAGAAGACTCTGAGGAGTGGGAGGACCGTGGTGTTGTTTTCGTTGGGGACTGGTGGGATTAGGAATAATAGGAGGCCGCTGGATAACGAGGAGCCGAGAGAGTACGCTGAGCGATGCTCGGTGCAGTGGCATCGGGTGAGTGTTTACCCGGAGAGGTTGGCTGATCTCGCTCTTCAACATGTGAAGCCTGGGTGAGTTTTAGTTTGTATGATTGCGGTGAATTTTGAATGCCATTGTTTGCGAAATGTATGTTAGCAATGTAGACTTGATTTTGTTATGTTTTAGGATGCCGAATTTGTTTAAGGAACTTGAAATTTTATTCAAGATTTTAAATTTTGTTGTTTTACTTTGTAAATGACAGTTATTGCGGTAAATCTACGTGCATTTATTTGCTAGAATCTTATTATTGGACACTGTATAATTGATTGAAACAAGTTTTTAAGTCGATCATAAGCAGGAGTGTAGAGCTTTAAAACAAGCGGTGACCGATTATCCAACGGGAAATGGGCAATGGTCAGTCATGGCATATAATTTAATTCACTGATCAGGAGTTTGATCAGTTCCATCGTAAGTTCTGCAAATGAGAAAGTTATTTGGAATTCCAGGAAAATATTGTATATTATTACATATCTATCCTTCATGTTCACTCTAGTAAACCTTCTTTACTTTTGTGCACCTTGTTCTCTTTAGAGTCGAACCAAAGACATACATCAATGGCTAATTAACCCCTCCTCCACCAGTCCCTCTCCTTTCTCGTCTGCTGCATGAAAACAGGCTAATATGCTACAATCTTTTCATTTTTATTGAAAAATTGTATCCCTGGGCGGTTTTCATGAATTTGTGCCCCAGCCTTTTGTTTGTTTATCACCCCCAAAGTACCATTTGTCAACCCTTTACCTGCAACCGATTCTTTATACATGTGCATCATTTAATTTAATTGTGAAAGGACACTTTTCATCCTGCTCTCTTAGACCATCCACATTAAGATTGTTGTGGAAGGTTGTCAAATAATCATACCTATAGGAATCAACTACTTATCATTGTAGCAAGTTTCTACTCATTGCGAAATGTCTATTTTAATAACCAAACAAAAAATGTTAGTCTGAAAACATAGGTAGCTAACAAATTGTTTATTAACAACAAAATGACTACTTATGACCGTTAATCAACCATTTTCACTTGACAAGTAGATTTGTTCTTTTTATTTTCAAGAATTGGAATAGCACTTTTGGAGAGGAACAACATTATTGATGATTTACTGTATTTTTTAACTTTTGGTTTAGGGTTATATTGGATATGTTTATCTTTCTTTAATTTTGTCTGTTTAAAATGTATAGCGAAACATCTAATGCTTATAATAGTTATATTTAAGGTGAATTGTGTTGTAACTGAATTTCTATAAGTTGGGACACCTTTCTTTTCTATGTCATCATTGTTCCTTAATAGCAAATGGGGAGAAAGCCTTATTAAGGCCCTGCCATAAATTCTCAAGAATCAGTAAATGTGAATATGTGATGACAATAACAACACCCTTATCCTAAATAGTTGACGTCAGTTACATGAACCTCTTTTATCCATTCAGTGCTGTAACTTGTAAGGGTCATTTCTCCTTTAGATACTTACTACCCTATCCATTTTAGAATGTCAATCCCATATGTTATCCAGGCTTCCTTTGTCCTAGTCACTATTTTAACTGGGTTCTATCTGTTCCTCCAACTGGCTCACTCATCTCCTTTAACTACCATTGATTATTCTGAAATGGTCTTAAATGTTTGTCCATTTTATCAAAAAAGCTTGTGGCTGCCTATGTTACCTGGGTACTAATCTGAAGCCGTACCCGTACCCGACACGTACCCGTAGCCTTAGCCAAACTCCTTGGACACTCCTGCATATATGCATACATTTATTTAGGTATGTCTTCAATTATACAATATATGTTTTAATTTAAAACAATTGCCATATGTTTTTTGGATGTATATGCTTCACTTCCACTTCTTGAAACTCGTTGGACATGGGTCAAGTTCCAAATTATGATTTTAAAGAGTCGTTAAAATGTCTAGTTCAAAAACTAGTGATTTTCCAATTTATTATCCACAACCCACATAATAAAAGAAACATAAAAATGTTATAGGAATTTTAACTCTCATCATTGTTTTCATATAAATTATTAATTCTAATATATAACATATTCATATAGCCATGTCCCCGTACCCTAGAAATTTGCGTTGTCCCGTACCCGTACTGGTACCCATACGGCCATACCCATACCCATACCCATACCCATGCAACATAGAAGGCCGTGCTGTCCCAATTTATAACCAATGTGTTAATCTATTGTTCTATCTTTGTATGTCCTGCTCCTCTATTCAAAATTCAGGTAGCAGTTAGATATACCTTTTTTTTTTGTAATGCAGTTTAAGCCTCTGACCAAGGAGCAGCTGCAGCTGCCTACAAATTTCCCTTGATTGACTTGGAAATAGGCTAGATGACGAGGTGATTGATTTTTTTTCCTATTGGGAGTAACTTCTCAAAGCTGCCAAATAGCCATTGAATATTCCAATATTGAGAGATACTGATCCTAGTTATAATTTGCAAAAAATGCCATCTTAACAATTTGGTGCATTATCTCACTTTGACCCTCCTTATTCCCAACAGTCTAGGCTCCAATGCTTAAATATGTCTTGCACTTTAATGCTTTATTAGTTATTACTATTTCGAGGTTCGAAACCAGTGCCTGCTTTAGCTATCCGACATGATGTGAATGCATATTGTTTGAGATTGTTCTCTTACCAACTTATTCTTAAGATAACACCATATCAACATGGTTTCTTTCATTTGCATTTTTCAGTTTGACTGGTAAAATTTGCTTATTGCCAGTTCTATGTATTTGCATGCGCGAGCTATATTATCGTCTCTGTTATGTTCTCATATTGTTTTTCAATCCAACATCGGTTTTGCCTATTGATTGTCATTGTTATTTCTCCCTGTTATAGATCTATTTTATATTTGGAGGGGAATCTGGAAACAAAAGTATTTAGCGATCCAATGACTGGCCTTGTGAGGCGTATAAGAGAAATTGCTCTCCGTCGAGATGGTATGCCTTCTTCCACCTTTTGTTCATCTTTAAAGACCGAACCATTTCATTAATAATGTACAATTTTTTTTTTCCTTTGGAGTGTTACTACTGTGCTCCTGGTTTCTGCATGAAAATCAAAGGAAAATAATGTAGTTTATCATTTAGGAGCTGATTGTGATGTTTTGGGCATTAGCAGAGTTTAAAGAACTTTAGATTGAATTAACCTTACATTTACACTTGATAGACGAATGCCATCCTGTCAATGTCATAAAATCTCCTCGGTTTTCTTTCTTGCGTTGGGCATCTGTGAAGTTCACGAGCATAAATTTTATGGCCTAAAGAGGCCCTATTCATCAAGTCATCACGTACTCCAGTCTTCTTTGTGTTATAGAAGCTTATTCCACTTTTCCAAGGAAACTAAATAATTATTTATAGAAGACCGAGTTTGTTATAGAAGCTTATTCTGCTTTTCCAAGGAAATTGAATAATTATTTATAGAAGACCGAGTTTATTAATCACTTGATTTTGTTATGATTGGTTTTATCAAGATATGGCCTGGGCCTAATCGTACATTTGCACAGGTCGAATTGTGTTTCTTGGTAATGCAAGTGATTCTGGGCAATCGGAGTCTGAGTTGAAACGTGTTGGCTATTACTAAGGCCAATGGATGAGGATCTTGTAGAAGTTATGAAGAGAAAGTTGCAGTAGTAGCCTTTAAAGAAATTGAATCTCGTCACACCAAGAAGCTGATATGAATCTTACTAGGGGGGATTTGTTGATCATATGTTGAAACACGAGAGAAAAATAATGTTGCCTATCACGTTTTGTTTCTGTGTATTACCAATCATTTGCGAATCAATATTTCATGGAAAGGCTTTTTGCAGACTTGTGATGCTGTAGAGATCCTCTGTTGACCGAATTCCTTCCAATGAAGTTTTTCTTCCCCCACCCTGGAATGGGTAGAGAAATGACAGATTTGTAATTTTTGATGCTATTAAGATGAAATCTCTCCCTTCACCGATTTAGTGTTCTCCATGATATAGTCACCATTTATCTGTATTAGCAAAATTGTTGGTCTTGGCGTACAAATTGAAAATAATATGCTTTGTTGTTAGTTTGCTTTCATTTAGTTAGTTGCAATGAATACATTTCTAGTGATATGAAGTTAATATGCGTTCAAGGGTTAGTTTGCAGTCCAGTAATCCACTGGGTTGAGTTCAATTTTTCATTTACATGTCTTGAAGATTAAGTAATTTTTCAAGTGACAATGCAACAATAATCTCATGTTTTCATGAAAATACAGCAGGACTACACAATAAATTAGTCAGGAACATTCCTATATTTATGTGTATTGTTCTGATGGTTAATCTCATTAGATCATTTTTATGCCCTATATTAATGTTTATTTGATTCTGTGAGGGCTCTCTCTTTTTTTCCCTTTTCCTGCATAAAAGCAAGCCCTTTGTCTAATTTATCTTCATACCTCCCGATTAATTACAAAAATCAATGCAAACCTGACAAAAAGCAAAACGTCCACTCGTAAGACTTGCATGCAACAGCAACCACAAAATAAAGGGGAACTTGAACATAACCTCCATGTCTTTATTTTTGCTGCTGCTTTTATTTTTTAAAGGAATTTGCTTCGAACTTTAATTCAAACTTTTTATAGTTAGATGTACGATTGGCCCCAATCCCAAATGATCCAATTCTCATAGCTGCCGCTTTGAGGCGGGGTCTAGTGGTCCAAACGCTGAAACCATGAGCGCAAGTTTTTTTACCTCTAGTTGAGTTATATGAGGTAGGGTTGTGCACACGGTGGGTCGGGCCGGGTTTTGGTCAAAATTTGCCAAACCGAACTGAACCGCCTATAATGCAAAGCTGAACAGAACCCGCTTCTTACATCTAAACGGTTTTTGTTATGCCATATATAGCACGTGTGTTAATTTGAATCAACTAAAATGTATTTAATTAGCCAACGTTGGACTAAAACTCACATACTACTAATTAAGCACATTTTAATTTTTATCTATGAAATCCAATAATTAAATGATATCTTTCCACGAAAGCCCTCTAAGATTCATTTATTTCGACATCTATCTCAACGGAAACAATTTCTCAAGAGAGATTTTGTTCTCTGAAGATTTTTATGGCAGAGATGGGATGAGGTTTGCCTGTTGGGCCAATGTTGGGCTCTGTCATAGAGAAGGAAATGGGCCTGTTGGGTTTGAAAAGTGCAATAGTAAGCAAGAAGAGGTTTTTGATTCAATGAATAGAGTGAGCAAAGGCAGTATAGATGAGAATTCTGTTCATTCTTCCTCCTCTGGGTCAATTTGTGCTTGGTTGGTAGTTCTCATGCAAGTGATGATAGTGATCAGTGTAATGCTGCTATAGATTGCAAGAGATAGAGACAATGTAGCTAGTTGTATACAAAATCATTTTGTTCTTTAGTGATATGATCATGATGTGTAACTTGATCATCAATATATTAGATAAAGTGTTGTGACTATCAACCCTGAAACTGACTTTTCCTTTTTAATATTTGATATGATGATATGCAAGTTGAAGCGTGAATACTGCCGAGCCTTTTCTCTTGTTTAACTGATTTCATTTCAGAATGCAAATTACTTCACAATTGGAAAACTCAAGAAGAGGAGACAATGTGGCTAGTTGTATACAAAATCATTTTGTACGTTCTTTAGTAATATGATCCTGATGTGTAAGTTGATCATCGATATATTAGATCAAGTGTTGAGTCTATCAACCCTGAAACTGACTTTGTCTTTTTAATATTTGATATGATGATATGTAAGCTGAAACTTGAATACTGCCGAACCTTTTCTCTTGTTTAACTGATTTCATTTCAGAATGCAAATTACTTGCACAAATTGAAAAGTCAAATTACAGTTCACTCAAATCCCACTGATAGCTAAACAACTGACTTAACACTAACAACTTATCCTAAAAAAGTAGAATGAAATTCATCAAAAACAGTGAATCTACAAATACAACTCTTGTAATGCTTCAGTTTGAGAAATACTGTAGTATGCAATGAATCATCATTATCATGCTCTTGATAGCATGAAGGTGAGCATGAACTTCTACAATAAATTCCAGCATAAAATCAAAGAATTGGTTAATTTATAAGATTACTTTTTTAACAAAAAAAGCTATTAACTGTGACATGGTAAATTCCTGCATCTCTTCTTCTTCCAATTCCTTATAGTCATGATGAAACTTGGATCCTTTTCCTTTGCTTTGTCTTCTGTTCTTTCCTTGAGTTTGCTTGTTCCTGTTCAGCTCATGATCTCCTTTGTGAGTTTATCCATTCTTTAATCATTCTCCATTGCTTCCTTGTGCAAATGACATAGTATTTGGAGGTTCTCAAAGTATCAACTAATGCCCTCGTTTGGGATTCGATCAACTACTTCAGCACTTTCCTTAGCTTCGATATCTAAATAATACAGCATCATCATTGTTGAATATTTTGCACATCGAAGTGTATCAAACTGAAAGCAGTTCTCACGACAAAACGTCAGAAAACCTAGCGCTGTATTCAAAACTTTACTGGATATGTTTTCATCTTCATCCATTCCAACCTGAAATCATGACGCATTTAAAAGTTAGGACCTGAAGATTTAGGCTAGTATATTAACTATTTAATTTGAGATAATCACCTTGTCCTGATTTGTAATGTGCAAGTCTTCCATATTAAAATTCCCTGTTGTTTCATGCTGCAAGTTGATGATGATAAGGTTGTCTTTTGCCTCAAGAATCAAAGCTTCAACCTGTAATTATACACAGAAACATGCAAAGTAAATATTAATTCAATGTGTACATGAATACTTTTATGCATGTGCATGAATTTCCATTTAATTATGTCTGTATGGATGCTTACCTCTCTCGATATAGAGTTCAGCTTCTTTGATTTTCCTTTCTTTGTGAAATCCACAAATTTTGTCGGCCAATGGTCACCGACAAAATATGGCAGTTTCTTCACAATATTGCTAAGCTCTTCATTACCAGCCCTCAAAAAATATTTGTGATAAAAACTTGTGCTGTCAACCACAACATTTTCCGCCTTCGCCTTAGTTACGAGATTGTGATACCTGGCAACATAAGATTCAACATGTGAGTCTCAATATAAGGTGGATTTAAGACGTTTCGGGATTTTTCACAGAAAAACACATACCATTTTATAAGATTTTTATCTGTAAGCATCTTTTGTTCCTTGGGATGACAGTTGAAGATGTAGTCGCTGTGCTTTGGAGATGGACAGGCCCACAAATGGACGTTCTTGAATCCCCTCTTCTTGCAGTAGTCGAGGTATGCAATCTGGTGACAAAATAAAAAGAATTAGCTTAAAGTGGTTGATTTTTGACATGGTCAGATGCAACTGTAGGCTTGATTGTGGAAGAGTTTTATTGTTGCAAAAAGGGTCAAAAAATGTACTCCAGGGTTCTATCTTCAACAACAGAACTAGGGGGGTTGTAAGTTCAATTTGGCGATAATACAGGGATTTCATCAGCAGTTAAGCCATAAATATATATGATCAGTTAAAGTCTACTGTAAGCAATTAAAATCCGAATTGAATTTCGAAACATAGAAGGAAAACATGATGACAGGACATACCAATATTTGTTGATAAACGAAAGTGCGAAGAGGCTCATCATTTGCAGCCTGGGTTCTGGGTCTGAAATGGTTCACAGAGTCGATATAAGATAAGTAAACGCGCCCTCTATTTGGTTCTGGGCACTCGAATCCATATTCCTGAGTGTAGGCTGCAAAAATGCAAACATCTGTTCCCCCAATTTTCTGAAACAACATTAAGGCCTGAAAAGGGGAAAACAGTAACAAGTTAGTGAATTTTTCCATGAAAAAGTTTTACGTGGTTTCAATGAACTAGTTGTTGCACCTTTGATTTGTAAGGGAACTCTTTCGGATAATCGTTATCTTTAGAAATCATTTTATGCAATATGTCCGGGACTTGTGCTTTTTCGTTCACTGATGAAACTTCTCTGACAACAAGATCTTCCGCTGCAGGTACCTGAGAGTCAAGAAAAAACATGTTTGATCCAATCAAAAGGAAATTTTGGAAAATAAACAAAACATGAGACTTCCACACATTAGAGATAGAAACTTCAGGTTGATTGACTTACCTCATTAATATTCTTCCCTAACTTAGCTGCTCGTTTCTGCCTATCTTCCTCTAACTTCCTTGAAAGCCATTGCTCTATATGATCACTCAGCTTAGTTCGCGGTAAGTTCTTTGCCTCCAAAATTTCATTATGCCCCAATTTCGTATGGTTGACGCCTTGTATTGCTCTTAAATAGCATTCTGGGCAAGTATGATCAGCTTGACCACTCTCATCCTTTTTCTCATTGAAGAGAGTACATATCTGATGTAGCCACCTACCACAGCTATTGCATGATACCCACTGGATACAAGGGGGGGAAAAATCAAATCAATTAGGAATAGAGTCATCATATGTGTAAAAGAATAAGGCTTATTTTAACTTTGATACCCAAACATTACTCTTTATTCACTTCGATACCCAAAAGTTTCAATACTGTTCGCCTTTGATGCCTAGTCTAGATGTTGTTAGATTTTCTGTTAACTTTGTATTACATTTAGGTCCAATTTATCCAACAGTCAGGGACCCAAATAACCTGATGTTCCTAGTAGCAGCACATGATATAAATTTAACAAAAAAAAATCTAATTAGATCTGGACGAAGGTATCAAAGTGAAATGCGATTAAAACTTTCGGGTATCAAAAGTGATAAAATGGGTAAACTTTGAAGTACCAAAGAGTAAATAAAGATAAAATCAATTGAGCTTACAGGTTCGTTATGTCCAATTCTTGTCGGATCTCCCCCACTGAGATTTTCTTTGTTCTTGCACTTCCTGCAGTAGTACAAATACGCATAAGTTCCATCATATATCGAATTGATATTTCTCTCTCGGTAACAGAGTGTATTCGGCGTTATGCGTGCGTCACATCTTTTGCAAAATGTAGGTTGTATCTTGAAAGGAATTTCCCCCGACTCACACAAGCTGCAGTTGTTTTCATCTTTTATTGTGGTTTCACCCTGCAATAAAAAATGGAATAATATTTAAAAACAGAAACTAGAATAAACAAATTAAAGATCATGTATATGACAAAGCCTAAAGATGAACATAATAATGAAGCAATGAATATTAAATTATGCAAACATGCACACCTGCACTTGCATTTTAATGCCATTTTGAGTCTCATATCTCATTATGCAATTCAAATTATAATTCATCAACTAACCTGATTACTGCAAGGCTTTAGAGCTGAAATGTGCTCTCTAATTTGCCCCGGGGTCATGTAGTAGATCAAAGAGGCACAATTCAAAGGATCAGATGAAGGAATCAGAATATTGGAGACTTTAAAGTCATCCTTAGTATCAAACTCAGCCTCTGCTTTTTGATCAAATTGAACACTGGTCTTTTCTTCAAAGAAATTTTCCTTCATTGCCGCATCAGAAGGATTAATATCTTCAATCATCGAGCCTGCCAGTTCTTGGTTATCACTGCCATTTTGTACATGATCATCGGATGGTAAGGTGATTGCTGAAACCAAATTCTTTTCTACTTTCTCAGATTGAGCAATAGTGTCTTCTTCAACAAAAAGGGTCTCAAGTTGAACCGCCTCTCTATCTTCATTACTGATTTCCTCGCTTTGCACTTGTTGGTCAAATTGAATACTGCTCATTTCTTCAAAGGAGTTTTCGTTCATTCCTTCATCAGAAGGAACGATGTTGACCATTGAATAAACTTTACCCAAGTTTTCATCAATTGAGCCTACCAGTTCTTGGTTAACTTCAGTATCCTTTTGTACATGAGCATCCGGTGACAGGTTCATGGTTGAAAACAGATTCTTTTCTACTTCTTGCTCACATTGAACTGTACTATTAATTTCTTCAACAAGGGCCTCAAATTGAGCAGCCTCTCTATTTTCTTTTCTGGTTTCCTCTAGCAAGTATTCATTGGTCTGCTCATCCTCATCAGCAGGCGCAATTGCAGGATAATAATCATGGGTATCATGATTTTCGTGAGAAGGATTCGAAAGCTCTACTGCATTTTCACTGGGGAAAGGAATCCTATCTATAGAAAAATCCGCATACACGGCTGCATTTGTTTCCTTCTGCAGAGAAATAGTTGACCAAATATAGTCAGAACTTCAGATGTCTCCGAAGAAATTTTAATTAATGCATACATGTTTTGCATAAAATCTGACCTTTAATTATGAGTTTATGATACTATCTGAATTATAATGTTAATGTAAAAGTACAACTTCTAAACAAATTCAAATTTAGCCTGGGCAATCTCAATCAAAAAGAATTCATGAACTAACCTGTGCACTTTGGTCAAATACTGAAGTATTCAAAACTGAACCAGGAGTGGCTGACTTGAGGAAGTTACTGCCATTTGGTTCATGATTGAAATTCTTTTCGAAATTTTGTGCATATTGAACATTAAAGTTTTCTACAACAAAGGGATTATGTTGATCATCCTCATCCAGAACAATAACATTGGTTGCAGGATTCAAAGGTCTGCTTCTAACTTGGTCTTGTTGGCTGTAATTATTGGTATCATGGCTATTATAAAAAGGATTTGAGCCATCTACTGCATCAACTCTATATACTTCCATCTGCACAGAAATCAACAAAACATAGTCAGAATTTCAAAATTCTCAAAACGAAATTTTCATTAATTCAGAATTCACGCGAATCATCAACTAACCTGATTAATACCCTGAGTCTGCATCCAGTTCATTTCTGTAACCTGCTCCGGAGTGAGTTGGCTTGAAAAGGGAGCAAAACGTGACATCTGAGGATCTAATGGAACTTCAGCACCTGAATACAAATTTCCTCGTCGCTGGTCATTATGAACTGTTGACTGTTCATTAGTATCCTGAAATTGATGTACATATCTTCTCACCACATCTACTAATTCTCCACCATCCTCAGCTCTTGGAAATTTAGTAGGATGCATAACATCAGTCTCAGTATCAAAAAGAACTGGAGATTTCCTTTTACAATAATTTGGCTTGAAAACTGCCTCATAAACTGGACCACAAACAAAGCAATTTCCGCAACATGATGCGAAATGACCCATCCATTTCTTCACTGTAACGCAACGGCAGTCATTTTTGTTGCACTCCGCTATGTGCTGCAAAATACGCGCAATGCGTGCGCTACATTGATACATGCATCCTTGAAGTTGGCACTGCAGGTTTGCATGTATCCACTGTTCAAGAAACTTGCGGACCTTTTGAAGACCGTCAATGGTAATGTTTCTTGGAATTCGTCCATGTATTTCTTGGTGAACAGCTTGAGCCTGATTATTGATGCTGCAAAGAAATGGGTTATTTGCTACCCTCCGGCTAGCATAGCTATGAAAGTAGTTGGTCACACAGGGGTTCTGATTGAAATTCATCCTGCGAAGATCAAACAGTTAATTGATTAAGGGAAAACTTAGTAAGGATGTATATCATGAAAACACATACATAAAGTATAACTCTTCATAGATAAATCTAAGGTTCAAACTTTTAGTAAGGATGCTCATGATGATGGTAATTAGGACTCAGGAATGAAATATTGAAGACCATTGTGATCAGATTGAGGCGATTTCGGTTCAAGATTCACATGCACGTTAATAATTACTACTTATTCCCTTAAATCTTTTGTAATTCGAAAGCAGTCCCACAAACCAAGAAATTATTGTCAGTTCCCCTTTTCTTAATTTATTTTGAAATTATTCACTCGAGTCATTGAAAGTACTATTAGGTCCCACGCTTCTCAAGCTGTTTCAAATTAATCCCTCCAACAGCTACTTCTGCTCTTGATTGGAGGGACTGATTTGAGACAAGTCAGAATTGGAGGACCTAACAGCAGTTCCAATGAATTGAGGGGCTAAAGTTGAATATCTTAAGTATTGGAGGACCTAATAACAATTTTAGTGACTGAGGGACTAATTTCCACCTATTAAAGATTGGAGGGACTAAGATCGAATAAAACCCTTAATTTTTTTTGACAGAATGCGCATTGCACTAGCAGCAAAAAAAGGAAAAAAAAAAGAAAAAAAAAGTCATCACGCATGGAGTTTTTATTGAATCGTTGACAAGGAACAAAAACAAACAAAACAAACAAAAGATACAGTTAGGTTCCAAAATTTACCTAGGTCCACGTACGAGGGCTCCCACGAGAGTGAACTTTTCAATCGACCCTAATTTTTTCTTCGAAATTTTCTATCTCTTCAGTTTATTAAGAATCTCTCAAGTTGTCTATTTGAACGTTTTTCTTTCCTAGTCCGAGTTGGGAAAGGATTCCTTCTCCTATCAGACTCTGACGATAAATACCAACTATTTTCTAATAATTAGAAATGTTCTAATTCAATTCTAACATAATCCTAGTCAAATTAGTATTTGGCCCAATGTTAACATAATCCGCAATTTTTGAACTAAACCAGTAGAAAGCCCATCAAGTAAGCACGCATTGGGTACAGAGTGCAAAGTTGAATAATCAAACCAAAAGGAAATAATAAACTGTGAAAG